AGAGGCCTTTGTTACTGCGGCCCGGCCCCTACCCCGCCCTCCCCGCTGCGCCCCGCAGCCTCTGGATCACCCGAACCCCGGCCTCGGATGCACTTCCTCCAGCTCCGTCCTCCCGAAGGAGCCCAGAGCATCCTCCCCAGAGCCAGGAGTCCAGGCCGCCACTCCTCCCCTAGACCTCGGTGCACAGACCCGGCCTCCTCCCTCAGACCCAGGAGTCCTCCCCAGCCTCCTCCCTCAGACCCAGGAGTCCTCCCCAGCCTCCTCCATCAGACCCAGGGCCCTCCCCAGCCTCCTCCCTCCAGCTCCGTCCTCCCGAAGGAGCCCAGAGCATCCTCCCCAGAGCCAGGAGTCCAGGCCGCCACTCCTCCCCTAGACCTCGGTGCACAGACCCGGCCTCCTCCCTCAGACCCAGGAGTCCTCCCCAGCCTCCTCCCTCAGACCCAGGAGTCCTCCCCAGCCTCCTCCATCAGACCCAGGGCCCTCCCCAGCCTCCTCCCTCAGACTCAGAGGTCCTCCCCAGCCTCCTCCCTCAGACCCAGGTCCTCCCAAGCCTCCTCCCTCAGACTTAGGGATTACTCCCCAACCTCATCCCTCACACCCAGGGATACCCCCCACCTCCTCCCTCACACCCAGGGTACTCCCCAGCCTCCTCCCTCAGACCCAGGGGGTCCTTGGTAACATCTTTACCCACTGAGCCATCTCACCAGACCTAAAATCTCAAGTTTTTTGTTTTGTTTTTGTTTTCATGTTTTTGAGGCAGGGTCTCCCTTTAGCCACAGCTGGTATGGGACTCTCTATGGGGACCAGGCTGGCCTCAGTCTCATAGACATCTGCCCGCCTCTGCTTCCAGTGCTGGGATCAAAGATGTGCACCAACACGTGTGGCTATATCTGTAGTTTTATTGATTGTCATGTAAGGGCTTAAAAAGTTTAAGATTCTGGGGTTGGAGATGTAGCTCAGTTGGAAAAGTGCTTGCCTATCATGTGGGAAGCCCTGGGCTCCATCAGAAACACTGCCTCAACTGGGTGTGGTGGGCTGTGCTT